TGCTTATGGGAATAGTGTGAATGTTCCCATGGATGTTGCCCTCATTTATCACTGTCGGGTGCCCCTTCAAGGAAACCTTCCCAGAGCATCCCTCATCAGGGATACAACACTGTGGCGATATAACTCATCATTAATCATGAATGTTAACAAGGTACTATATCAAACCATACTGTAAGCTCAAAAGTTAAAACCTTGGTTATAAGGAGGGAAAGGGGAGAGCTACCTGTACTATGGGGAAGCAGAGGATGTCGTTTAAAGGTTGCATTAGAATCACTTCCACATGAAGTTTACATTTTACAGAGATTTAGGAGAACGGCCCTTTTATGTACTGTACAAAGGTAAATGCATTTGATTTGTGAACTGAGACATGGCACCTTGTAAGAGTCAACAGTGATCAGGTGCTGGTTAAGAATTGGATTCTTCCGGTAAAGTCTCTGCTGCAACTTTGTAAGATGTGAGAGCTGAGGCGTAGTGAGAAGATAGCTCTTTTACATGCATATAACTATTAAAGGGCATCATTCAAGGCCTAGGAAGTGACTGTGCAGCAATTAGAAAGTTAATGTACCGATTTCTAGCTTTCTCTCTTTTTCTTTTCCTGTCTTCATATATGTTTTAGCTAGTACATGAACCTGTAAACTACCTGAAGAAGGAATGAATTGATTTTTGGTTATTTGTATCTCTGAAGTACTTGGTGGATAAAAAAAATACAGTCGTGCTTAGTGGAACCCATTAAAAGATGGCTTGGGACAGCATCTCCCAGATGAAGAGCTGCATTAGCATTAACACTGTAACTCATTGTCACCGAGGCAGGATAAGAAAACACACCAGCTGTAGCGCTGGAACTGTCAACTTGTTAGAGGTATTTCTTCTTAAGGGAAACAGGAATTTGTAGCAGAACCGTGAGTCATTTAATGATACCAAGGATCAATGCCGATGGTATTACCTCTTTTGGAAAATGTAAAATGAGTTTGTTTTCAATTTAAGAAAACCCAGTATTTCTCCACTGATTCAAATACTGCAAAAGGCTATACACATTTTACACCCTATGTACAAAAAATACAACTATAGTAATTGGTGTTAAAGGTAACGTTGCTTAATTCTTGCAGTTTGTATGTCACTGGGTACAAAATTTGTGTGTACAAGTTGAGTAAAAGGTAAACAAATGCATTCTGAAAATAATTGATCAAATTCTACCAGTGTCAGCTGTAAAACAAATGAACTCCTTATATTCTTGGAACCAGTGTTTGTAAAGTGGTGCTGTATTGTAACACTAAACATAGCTGTTGGAGTTTTGCTGATCCAGAGGACTGTTCAACTGGGTTTTTGAGATGTGTACGTTTAAGAAGGGTGATCCCACTTTTGTTGCCCACAGCTGTACTGAATTACTTAAGCAGTAAAGTGCTGAGTCATGTTGGAAAGCTTTAAAACAGAGGCAAGGGATACAGACTGATGTTGAAGAAAAAGATACTACTGTGAACTGAAAAGGTTATTTCCAGGTGGAAAGATGGATGAACAACGACTTGTGATACCTAATAGTTTTGTTCTTTTTCTGGGACCTTGAAGCATCATAACAAACTGTTCCTTCATTCATGAATACTAGACACGAGGTGGATTTTAGTCCTTGATGTGATGGGTACATTGAATTATATTGCTTCCTTATGTAGGTATAACGATATAGAAGCTGCATCTTTTCCAACTTCTATCTAAAAATAGTGCCAACTAGTTATTAACTTCTGCTGAAGGGTCAGGTGGCAAGCAGAGCAAACAAAAACATTTGCTCACTGTAGTTTTACAATTTGAGACATATTTTTTCTGTTTGCAAAGCCCCCAAAGTTATGTGCATTGTACTGATGTGGCAATGTATTAGAACCTTCCTATGAAGGGACATCTGGGGGCAGTGATAGTCTGATACTTTGTTGTGTGACAGAGAAGCGCGTCTGTGAGAGCAGGTATGCTTCTTTTTAGTTTCTACACCAGTGTCATGTTTTCATTCCTGCATCTGTTTTCTGGTTGCGCATACCTAGGCCCTTAAGGAGCTCTCTGATTAGTGGATTAGTATCATTACAAATGTCCAGGCGGAACTTTAACTTGGAAGTCTTCAAGAGACAGTCTGTAAATTACTGTTTGCTAATTGTGTTTATAATAATCATCAACTGGTATGTAACAGGCAAAAACTTAATTTCTAAAACTAAAAGGATAGAAGAGCAGTGTAGTGTGTATTGGATGCTTCTCATCATGCTTTTCTGCTTGCATACCCTGGAACAATGCAGAAAAGAATTTAGAGTTCTTAATTTGTTTAAAAGTTTCTGCAACTTGTGAAATACTTGCGGCAGAATCCCTTTCCAACTACCAATTAGCACTTCATGGCCTTTAACAAACCATAGTATTTGCTTCACACTGACAGCAACATCTCCCAAAGTCTGTATCAACAAACTCTGACAGCTGTATTAACATCAAAGCTGCCTGCTGCAGTGGCACTATTTTGCTTGGCAAGAGGTCCATTTAGCATTTTAAACTCACATCTGGAAGTCCAAGTCCCTGCTCCAAAGCAGGGTAAGGTAGCATTGTTTGCTCAGGACTTTGTCTAGCTAATCTGGACACACAATCTCTCTAGGAAACCTGTTCTGGTCTTAAACTCAGAGCAGACAAGAGCTAGTTGGAATTTCTCTTGCTGCAATTGGTGACCATTGGCCCTTGTCCTGCTGCATGATGCTGAGACGAGTCTGACTTTGCTCTATACCTTCTTAATAGGTAGCTGGAGACAGTAGCAGTGCCTCCTCACCCCATGCCCACTGCCACCTTCCCTTTCCCCACTGTTCTCTCTGGAAGGCTGAGCTTGGCTGTAACAGTTTCTCAGATATCTTCTGCTCCACCTCCCTGTCCATTCTCTGTGGCTTCTCAAGGGACTTGCTCCAGTGTGTTAGTCTGTGGGGAACTCAACACTGAACTTGCATGCGTCCTTGAGCGCAGAACAGAGGTGAAGAATCCTTTCCCTTGAACTCCTAGCTATGGACTTGTTAGTACAGCTCACTATACAGTTGTCCACCTTTGTCACAAGGGCATACTGCTGAATCCTGTTCAATTTTGCTGTGCAACAGCATTTCCAGGTCCTTTCCTGTAAAGCTGCTTTCTATCTAGTTGGCTCCAACCTGCCTGTTGTGTGGGGTGATTGTGTCTCAGGTGCAGGATGGTGCATTTGCTTTGCTTAAACTTAATGAGATTTCTGTGAGCCCACTTGTATAATTTGTTGAGGACCCTCCGAATAGCATTCCTGTTCTCTTTCATATTGACTGTTTGCCCTTCCCATGGTCCCCCCCTTCCTCTCCAAATTAGTATTGTTGGAAACTTGCTGAGTGGAGTCTGCATCATAAAGGTCACTAATAAAGCAATTAACCAATTATAGCTGCTGCAGAACACACCTATTAACTGGTTACCAGTTAGATTTTTTGTGTCACTGATGACCACTTTTTGAGCTTGGCAGGCCAGCCCATTTTCCATTCATCTTGTAGTCCAAATATTCACTCCCTATGTCACTAATTTAGGTACAAGGACATTTCTGGCATGTTCCCATCCAAAATCCTGCTGTGAAGTAATCTTGCAAAGCTAATGCAGTATTTTATAGGTGGCCCATCATCACGTGGTTCCTTTAGAGTAAGCTGAGTTACCGCACACAGTATAGTTACTCCCACATTAGAGAATGATGAGAAATGGGTTTCAAGACAAGTTATTGAAAGCTTTCTGGTTCATGTAAGTTTTTTCTTCATGTTTGAGTGAGACAAAAGTTCTAAGAGATGATAATTTGTAACCCAGTGTGGTTTGAATTGAGAGCTGTGAATTTGGCTTCCATTTGATAAATCTTTGACTACAAACACATTTTCAAAGTAAGTTTGTGTGAGTAAAGGTGGAAAACTGAGTACTTAAGACTCTAGTCTTGTATTCAAGAGACACTGCTCCACTGTGACTTCATGCAGTTCCCACCACGTCACTCAAATACTGATTCTTTCATCTGAAAACTTCCCTTCCATTGGTGTAACTGGTACTGCATACATTTGGGAACCTTGGCCTTCATTCAGTACCAAGTTATGAAATTAGGTCTCCTTGGATAGTGGGAAGAAAAAAAATTAAAATCATACTAACAGTAGTAATGCGTGGCAGTTTTATCTTTTCAAGGACATAAGCCAATCTTCATGGAAACTCATGTTTTCGAGTTGTGTAAAAAAAAAAAAAAAAAAAGACATTAAGGGGAGATTTTATTGTCAGGGAAGAGGGGAATGAACCTAAAGCATTTCTAAAGCATGTGATGTCATAGATACAGCTTTTAAGTACATGTCAAATACCACAAAAGTATGTGGATAGGTATTTGCTCCTCAGTAGTTAACTTGTGTACATCAGGTCTCCTACGATGATCAAAGCAAAAGACCTTTTTCTACTCCTGTGCTTTTCTCCAGACTTTTGATTTTTTTTTTTTTTTCTCCGAGAGATGTGGCATTCTCACTCTTATTTGCCCCTGCTTTCCAAAATGAGATGTAGAAACTACTTCAAGTGCATGATTATATCAACTTCAACTTTTGGAAAAAGTGAATGGCTGCTAGACATCATTTAATGTAAGAGCGTGACTGCTGTAAAGATTGGACATAGTCTTCCCATTCATCATATTTCTGCCTACCTGTGAACTAAGTTCTCACACAAACTACAGGAAATACGGACTATAAAATACTGATCAAGCCATTCTGACTTACCATCAGTAAATATGATGAATACTGTGAAAGGTTCTGAAAGGTTAATTGTGATGGTAAGCTCTATCAGATGAAAAGTTGGCTCATTCTTGCTGAGGACAGTTCATATTGACATGTTCCCAAACTTAACAAATTATTATTGTTAGCATCTGATCTTAGTTAAAGGACTCACTTGATTCTTCTATTTCAAAGGCTAAGTATTTAAAGCTATCATAATGTAAAAACATTTTAAGAGAATGATACTGGAGAAGGGGTTTGCTGTCTTCTCATGTGAGTTAAGCAGCCATGCACTGTAACCAGTATTTGCTGTTACATGTACAAAAGCCTATGGTTCTCAAATAGTAGCTTCACCTGTTTCAACAACAACAAATAGGTCTGAAGTCAGGTGAAGCACTACTTCATTTCAGACCTGATGGTGGACTTGAATGGTTTAAATGTTACAAGTTATGCTTCAGAGCCCAAATAGGTATGCTTAAACATGAGTACAGACAAAATTTTCTGGTGAATACTGTTAGCATGCTGTATTGCATTATGTCCAAAACAACCCATTCCCAAATGCCCAAATGAAAGTAAATGATTGTGCATTGCATGATGATACCATTAGGTGTGCAACTTTGGTTCATGCAAAGTCTCACATTATGGACACACTGCTGATAGTCCATATATTCCTGAAGATTCTGCATATATGAGCTTTTCAGCCATGTTCTTTCCATAACACCAAATGGATACTATGGTCTGGCATACTGGTGGCAAAAACCAAGCCCATATCATTTTGACCATTTAGTCCGTTTAACCAAGACATTTCACCAGCCAAAAAGCTTGAACCTCTCTTTGACTTTCTATACTCTGGTAGAGGCCAGCGGCTTATCAGTTTTTCTGTCCTCAAGTCCATTATATACAGATATCTGTTATCAAACAGTAGAGCAAATATCTCTCCAAAGCCCAGCAAGGACACATTTGAGAAGTCAGGAGGTTTGATAACCCTAGAAGACAAGACAATATTGTTAGAAATTCTGTCACGATGTAGTCAGGAACCTGCATTACTAGAACAAATCCTTATGTGTCTGTAGAAAACAAGTGTCTAAACTCATCATTTTGAAAGGGTTTAGAAAGAATTGGATGCAAATTTTTCAAATTAAGCAACTGAACACTTAGTTGCAGTCAGGCCTGTGGTTTCAGTTCTGGCTTTGTGCATTCAGGACACACACTTCTGAACATAAGTAAAGGTTAGGGTTTGAAAGGGATTCTGCAAGCACAAAAAAAGTCTTGTTTCCAGATACACAAAAAAGAGAAAATGTATGTCACAATAAATTTCCATAGGGATTTCATGCCTCCGTATCTTTAAATTAAGAGGTAAAGCCTCTTATTATTCTTTTGACCACTCTTTTAAAAGCTAGAAATAAAACACAGAAGTGCCTTCTTATGATAAGAAGGTAAGAAATCATTCCAGATCGGTCCTTAACAGAATGCTATTTTACTGACACTTAGCGTAAGTTAAGCATTTTCATCTTAGGGGGAAATAAAAGTGTTTGTTAGTTCCCCTACACCTTTAGGATATTTTTGCCTTAATAACTAAAACTTGGAACAGAAATTGAAGAGACTAAGTTTTCCACAACTGACTGAGCATTTGATCATAGCATTACCTAAAGCACAGAACTGAGGCACAAAAATGTATAGCGATGAAAATCTGTTCTCAGCAGTAAAAGAACATCTTTCTCTTTTGAATGATGGGAGGGTAAAACAGGAGGTGAAATTACTCAGTTATTCTTCTTGATAAGAAGCACTTCTTTTGGAATAGATCTCCTTAGGTTAGATACTGTACAAATATTTGGGTCATTTCTATTAAGAGTCTGCTAACAGTTCTAAAATGCAATTTTTTCTTTAATAAGTTACAATCTTTGATGGCACCATTTCTAACAGATACAGACTCGTTCTTTTTATGGAAACGGAATGCCATCCTGTTTGATCCCTTCCTGCAGCCTGATAGATTTCACTATCATTCCACAGCGTTCTCGAGAATGACAGATCAGTAGTGCTACAAGGAAAAAAGAGTCTTTCTAATTTGTTGTCCCATCAAAGGACCCCCAGAAATGGCTGCCTGGTTCGCTGTAGGGCCGTTTCCATGGCAACATTCATTTCTAGTCACTACAGTTTCACATTCAGAACTACAGCACTGCAGTCTTATTTAAGTCTATACTGAAACTCTTCAGCATACAGAATGAAAATATGAAAGAGGACTAGCCTGTGACCAGAAACTAAAACAGCAATCAAATGATTTGTATTAAAAGATGATAAATTAGATTTAAACCTGTAATATGTGTAAAGTAAGTTTACAGAATTTTTATCAAGATTCTTTTGGCCTACATCTAAAGTAAGTTATTAAAACTAATATGTTCTACTTCTTTCTTATTTAAAGAAGCCTAAGTCTTAAACAGATTTACCTGAGAATATCATAGCTGGCAAAGTCCCACTGGTATAATCCTAGTGCTGAGCTGCACACTATGTATTGACCATCAAAGTGCAGTCTGGGCTGTAGGGAGATGCTGCGATCTTCAGAAACAGACAGTGTTTTTAAGCACTTGCAGTTTATTTCCCTTCCAATAGGCCAAATCTACAATTAAAACACAGTTTAAGACCATAAAACATTCACATTATAAACCGTTACACAAATAGAGCAAGCCTCATAGTCTCTCTTAAACATCAGGTAAACGTGTCCATGTTTTTTCAGAAATATTTATCTCGTTTAGGTAGGAACATGAATTCTGTAAGTTACTTGTCTTACAATACTGTTGCAGTATGTGTTGTTTCTAGCCTAAAAAATCCCAGCAAAAATTGGTGCCTTAAAGAACAGCAAAAAAACCAACCATCCAATGGACAGAAATGTAACAATGTTCCAGTTATGAAGTGCTTCCATAGCCACAAAGCCCCCAACAGTTAGAGTACTTGAGGTTAAGTGCTTCACTGTCAAGTTAACATAGTAGGCATGCACTGAAAGCACATACTTTTTGTATTACCATTCATGTAGAGCTATCACTTAAATCTAAACATGAAAGAAAGTATTGAAAAGTTAGCTTCCAAAGAGTTGCATGTCTTGTACGCAACTTTACAAGCAGTGAATATGGGAGAAAATGAAGTCTTAGATTATTTGTAAACTTCAGCAAAGCACCCATTCCCTGGGTACCAAAATGATACATACATACCTTTATTTCATACTTATCTGCACTTAGAAGAATATAATCCCCAGGACTATGCATAAGAGATTTGACTTTGCACTTCTGCAAAACTACCTGTAATTGAAGTATGTAATGATTTGTGTTGATGCTGTTAAATAACCAAACATTTATTTGCATTTTTCACTTTGTTGACAAACTGCATACTGTACTGTTGTATAAAGGCAATACAAATACTTCTAGCAACTGGACACTACAGTTTACACTTTTCTTCTTCCTACTAGTGACAATTTACTGTATTAATAAGCGAACGTACATATTTCACGTCTAAAATCACCTCCCCAACTTCCAAGTTCTAAAATACTCAGAAGAAAAATACTGTTTCTTGATGTCAGAACACTTTTCATGCTCAGATTTTAGTTACCAAGATAATTAGTTTTTCTACACAATTTTAAAAGTAGCTTTCTTTCAGAAACCTTGTTTTTATTCACTCTTTGATTCAAACACTGACTCCTAATATTATTCCAGCTGCTTTGGAATAGAAATAGCTTCAGTGGTCTGAAAGGTTTAATTAGAACTTCTTTAAGTACTTTTTTCTGCTGAAATGTTACTTTGCAGTATTTCCTGATGTTCCCCAGATTCTACACCCAGATGCAGAGTTAGTATTAGGACACAGAAATTTATAACCATGTTACAAACTTACTGCAAGTGCTTTGCAAGATTAATTAAAAATCAATATTCCCACCTTCGTGACCCATTCTGTGTGTCCAGTAAGGGTATTCAGGCACGTTCCTGTTGATAAGGCCCACACTTTCACAGTGAAGTCTGCAGAGCCACTGACCAGAATATCAAGTTCATCATTGTAATCCACGCTAAAAACTACAAGCAAAGAGGGTACTAAATAAGGAATACCAGTCTCTATGAACGTGTTTTCCTGTAAGTGAGACACGGTCATATAGCCTCTAAATTCCTATGATACTACAGCTTTTACTGTTGTTCTTGCACTGTATACATTAATTGTTGCTCTGGATTCCTAAGCTCACATTGCAAAATTACTGATTTTTGTCCATACTAAGAGGGGATACCGTACAGCAGCCTTCGAGTTCCTGAAGGGAGCCTACAGAAAGCTGGAGAGGGATTTTTACAAGGGCATGTAGTGATAGGACAAGGGGTAATGGCTTTAAACCGAAAGAGGGGAGATTTAGTTTAAATGTAAGAAATTCTTTCACTACGAGGGTGGTGAGGCTGTGGAGCATGTTGCCCAGAGAAGCTGTGGATGCCCCCTCCCTGGAAGTGTTCAAGGATAGGTTGGGTCGGGCTTTGAGGAGCCTGGTCTAGTGGAAGGTTTCACTGCCCATGGCAGGGAGGCTGGAACTAGAAAGTCCCTTCCAATCCAAACCATTCCATGATGCTGTGATTCTATTTGCATCAGTGGTTCCTTTACAGTTGGATTATGGAAAAGCATAACTTAAGATAGTTCCTATTTTAAGAGTTCTAGTAAGTCAATTCCAGCAGGATTAGTACATTTGATACAGCTCATTACTCACAGGGGAACAGACCTACAACTAGTTGAGGATATTTTGCAGTAGAGGACAAGAGTGGTTAATTATGAGGGAAATGCAAATACAGATTCCCAGGTCTTACTGTGCTCTTAGCTGTAAGCCCAGTCGGGATATAAAGAACTGCTATTGCCATGTGCTCCCTGCTACCTAGGGTTTGCATCTTTTTGGTATACTCGAAAGTGCTGAATAATCATGCCTTTCAGTATTATTTCCATGCAACTTCAAAACACTATATGGCTAAGCTTTGACATTATTCCAGGGCAGACAAATTTAGCTCCGTTCTCACTGCTTCCCCCCCACCCCAAAAAGGGACTTGGGACAGAGCCGAAAAAAAAAAGCTATCATGCAAACAGCTAACTTAGATTATAATTTGTTTGATGATAATATGTGTTACTTGTCTGGTGAAATTACAAACTGAAAAGTTCAACGTACCTGCACCAGTATGTCCTCTAAAATGCTGTGTCTTTGCCCCAGAGCTCCAATCCCAACAGGCTACTGTGTTATCAAAAGATCCTGTTACAAGCTTTTGTTCATCAAACTTCACTGTAGCACACGTGTGTGTCTGGATACCATATATACACTGACCTGTGCTTACATCCCACAGTTTTGCAGACAAGTCATCTGATCCTAGAACATAAAAGAACAGAGTAATTGGAAGCAAAGAGTAAATAATATTTCCAATCCTATACTCGTCCTCCATGTTTGTTGTAAATATAGTATTTTCATGGAATCACAAATGGTTATGGTTGGAAGGGACCTCTGGAGGTAAATGCTTCCAACCCCCCCACTCAAGCAGGGCCACCTAGAGCTGGTTGCCTAGGACCATGACCAGACAGCTTTTGAATATGTCCAAGGATGGATGCTCCACAGTCTCCCTGGGCAACCTGTGTTCAGTCATGCTCACAGTAAAAAAGTGTTTTAGAGGGAACCTCCTGTGTTTCAGCTTGTGTCCACTGGATCTCGTCCTGCCATGGGTGCCACTGAAAAGAACCTGGCTCCATCTTCTATGCACCCTCACTTCAGGTATTTACATACATTGATAAGATCCTCCCTGAGCCCTCTCTTCTTCAGGATAAAAAGTCCCAGCTCTCTCAGCCTCTATTAATATGAGAGATGCTCCAGTCACTTCATCATCTTCGTGGCCCTTTGTTGGACTCTCCAGTGTCCAGTCTCTGTTGTACTGAGGAGCCCAGAACTGGACACAGTACTCCAGGTGTGGCCTCACCAGTACTGAGTGGAGGGGAAGGAGCACCTCCCTCAGCCTACTGGTAACTCTGCTCCTAAAGCAGCCCAGGATACCGTTAGCCTTCTTTGCAGCAAGGGCACATAGGCAGCTCATGCTCAACTTGGTGTTCACCAGGACCCCTGGGTCTTTTTCTGCCAAGCTGCTTTCCATATGCTTTGTGACCCCCAGCATACACTGGTCTCATGAAGTTGTTCCTCCTCAGGTGCAGGGCTTTGTATTTCCCCTTGTTGAACTTTTTCTCATTAAATAGTACTTTCAAGCTGCTTGAATGGGGAATAAGTCTTAGTTTTAAGCCTCAGCACTACATCAAAGCCTCTTGTTTTCATGTTAATTAAGCTACTAGATCTGTGGCCTTCTAGTTTCCTCATACCCTTTTAGAACCTTTCATGGACTCCAGCACTGCCTCTGATTGACAGCGTCTACTGAAACAGATGCACGAAGTTTTACATGATACATCACTCTCAGGTTTGCAGAGCCACTGACTATCTGACTATACTGCAAGCTTTAGTTTGTTTCAGGTAGGAAAGGAGTCCACCAAATCTTGAAAGATAGCAGATGAATACCAAGCGCCATCACTGGCCAGCTTCCTTTCTCTCCCCAAAGTTTCTTTCTTTTTTTTTTTAAACTTAGAACAGTAAGTCCAAACTTCTGGCTTTGGAGAGCAGAATAAAACCCTTGTACCTGTTGTTTCTTCTGGTGGTTTCAGCACAAAACTGTGCCACCTTCCAGAAAAGTTTTGACAGTGCTAATTCCTGCGTATTTACATTCCCTGCTGAGTAGGGAAGTGAAAGACTGGCTAGAGACTAGTTGTTGGTTTCTAGTAACCATCTTAACGTATCAACAAATGTGGGAGTACTTAGCCAGTATTCCAAACTTATTCTATCACATTGTCATCTCAAGTGATTAGGAAATCCTTGGAATATGCTCTGACAGCAGTTCATTGTAATCTTGTTACTATTCTTTCATGCTAAAGGTTTCCTATTCTGGCTGTATTTTTAAGTTCAAACTGAAATCTTGAAGTCTGCAGTCTTCAGGGAGGAAGCCACACTTATCACCACAATGTGCAAATCAGAATAGTAGCAAGATTAAATCTGGTTTACAGGTCTTCATACAAGCACTTATGTTAAACTGAAAGCGCTTACAGACTGTATCAGAGAAATTGTCTTGTTTCAAAGAAGACGACAGACTTTTCCTGCCACACCCCAGGAGACTGCAGTGATCACATAGTCCAAACAAGGTCCCTCTAACTGGAAGTTATCCTCTGAGAGGATAGCTAACATATCTGTACTTCTCAAACGGACTTACTAATCTGAAGCATGGTACCTGCTATTACTGTTTTTTTTAACTAACAAAGAAATCAGTCTCCTTGTTTTCCTATTAAAGTGACTAATGAGTTTATTAGCGTGCCAGATGTTTCAGAAATTGAAAATAAAAATAATCACCTTAAGCTCTGCTAGCACTATGAAAATAATCTGTCTGGTAAAGGAAAATCAAACTGTCATTAAACATATGGGGGGCGGGGGGATCGTACAGAGGGCAGGGGGAGAAAACAAAGAATTGTAAGACTCCAAGTTTTCTGTCCTTCCTACCTGTACACAGAAGTCCATCTTTATAGTAAAGTGCATATACTCTGGCACTGTGTCCAATTAAAGAGGATGTCTCAAAGGCTTCGTGGTCCTTCAGTTGCTTCATCCTTAAAATAGCCTTTAGGTAAACCTTCTTCCAATGTAGAGGATCCTGAACAGAGTCATCTATTTGCCAACCCAAATTCTTACATGCAGTCTGCCACACCTCTGTACAGGCACTTATAACCTTATTCCACTGCTTAGAGACGAGGCAACATGTGAGTAAGGTCTGAGGGTCAAGCCATTTTAACAGATAAAAACTAAGTTCCAATGGAAGAAGTTTGAGGAAGTCCCTCTTGAGGAGAATCTCTAGATTATTGGAGAGGTGCCTGAGCTGCACTGCTCCACTCAAGCTAATCAGGTGATCCAGAGTTTCATTTTTCTGCAAGTCCGTCAGAGAAAGAAATGTAACAGAAATGTTATCAAGCCATGCTTCAAAGTCCTTTTTCTCCATAAGGTTATGGAAAAATTTACCTGTGATACATCAAAATACTGTATTAGTTCCATTCAGAAAACAAGGTAAGCATCACATCATTATTACTGGTACATCAGTATTCCAAATGGCATGTTAACACATAGACTGAAGTCACCAAGCACATTTTAACATATTCATTAGGTTAGGACTAAGCATTTGCACGCACTTTGAGCTATCATTTGTCCTGCATCAGACTTAGAAGTGAGTTGTATGGAGCTAGTGAATGTTAGCATTCTTTAGGAATGTTAACATCTTTCTTGTTCTAGGTTAACATTTGCAAATTCTGAATCCAATAAGGTAAGGGTTAGTTTAAGTTTTAAACCTTTAATAGCAAATAAACACTGTCTTACTGTTTACTCATGGATTATATTGATAAACGGAAAAAACCAAAGCATATAAGCAGAGTGATAAGCTAGCTACGGACAGAATTTATTCATACCTTTGTCCTGCACTATTTTAAACACAAAGCAGGTAACTGTAGTTTATTTTTTAAAAGAAGATATAGAGAGATGTCTGAAATATTGTGTTAAAGGATATGTTAGCCATCTTTCTATTTGGCTCCTGTACAGACTGTAGATTGTATTGCTCTAGTATGAGTTTTAACATGTTTGTAGTATAAGTTTTAACATGTTTGCACTGCTTTCACCTCAATGCTTTTTTTTTTTAATTCCTGTTTTTTTTCCCCTGTTTTCTCTGTTTACTTCCAATGAAAAGAATTAACTGTGAAATTGAAAGTTTGAAATACTGCCTCCTGAACTACATGATTTGTATGCATTTACACTATCCTGTATTATCTCAAGTTCCTACAATAAGCTTGGACAAGCGATTAGCAAGCTAAACATTGGGCAAACAGTTTAAAAGTCATAATTATTTATTTTCTCCGGAAGATATAATTCCATTCATTAGACAACTGGCGGAATTTAATTCATAGAAGCTCCCAAACCCAAAGAATTGAGGAATCTGAGTGGGAGTCAGTAACATGTTTATTTCTATACAGACATTTTACCTTCATAGAGTAAGATCTTAAGAGTACACCTCTTAATATGGCATAGTAATACAGTAAATTACAGTTGTCACTACGAAGGGCTGCACAATGCATACAATTGTTGATAAAAACACAAGAAGGTACTGGGTGTCAAATGCACAGAAACAGCTGCTCCTACCAAGTCACAAGTTCATACAGTAACTTCTACTGCTGACAGCACTTACCAGCTTTCCTCAGCACACACAGCAGAGAATATATTTGCTGTTCTAACAGGCATGTGTTCTCTTTAAAACCAACAAAAATTTCTAACAGGCTCCCTATGAATAAAAAATAGACGAGGTCTAAGGCTTTGCTGTACATGAAGCTAATACTGAAATCGAGGGCTGCTGTGAGGCGCCGGAGCCAAGAGCTACGTGCACAGGCCTCTCTTCTAGGGCTTATCCAGCAAGCCCGATCCGCTCCCCCCCGCCCGCTCCCATATACCTCCGCACGCAAAAAGCACGACGAGGACCGGAGACTTTCAGCGCCGCTGCTGCCCACA